AAAGTAACACTTACCAGCACTGCAGGTGAAAAACGAAGCATGATAGGAGGGGTGACACAGAGGTATGGTAGGTGATGCAATTGGCCAGATATGCCAAGATTTTACCAGTGATAATTTTATGTATCTCACTATTTTAGTTACTAATGCCTTAGCATATCCGTGCCAAGCTATATGAAATTCAGTTATCAAATGCCGAGTTATCGAGGGTTTACTGTACAGGGATTAATAGTTTTAACCAAAAATGTGAATCAGATCAGGTGAATAGTTACATTTTTGTATACTATTTTTAAATTTATATTCTCATAGCTTTCTTTGTCATTTGGGGAGGAACAAAAACTTTAGTATTCTTTAAGAGTTCAAACAATTTATTAATGCTCAAAACTGCATAATAACTAAATACTGTACCAATATTGCTTGGTAGACACAGTGCCAGAAACACTATCGTTGTGATTGTTTCCAGATTATCTGCCAGTTGAAATCTCTTATAATTAAAACTACCGTACATGTAATTGCAGAAATTATGTAATAAAACAGAGCACGGTGTATTCTTCAACCTCTGGTCATCTTCAGCAGTGCTAAAGATATGTATAAAATGCTCTTATTCTGCATTTTATCTTTTACAGTATGATTTCAGTTACATTGTTTATACTGTACATATAAAATGCTGTATATACAATAGTAAACAATTAAAAAATTAAATATAATCATGCATTCCACATACAAATTTAAAAAGAAAGTGTGCTGATGAAATTTACATAAATTTTAACTCCAGTCAATATTGGATTATTATTCATTACTAGTTTTAAATTTTAAGGAGTAATACAGAATACAAAGTAAATATCTTCATAAAGTATTCAATATCAAGGTAGATCACCATGATAACTTACAAAAGGCTAATAATTATTATCAAAATATTAGACCTAAGAAACTTACAAAGAATTGAATATTTTTGTTAGCAATCTGTCAATACTGGATATCCAAATACTTCTTCATAACAGTTAAATTTATAAATAGCATTGAGATCTAAGATACTTTATATCATTGTAAGTCTTTTGATGACATGACACAAGTGAACTTATAAGATATCATTTTGAACACATTTGTATAGAAGTTCTGTTACTTTATCAAAATTATATATTATGAAAAAGAGCCTTGGAATCAAAATTATATCCCATATTATGAAAAAAAAGCCTTACTGTACCAGATATTCCACAGGTACTAAAGTTTGACATAAATGCAATAAAAGCTACATGAATGCATAAGTAAAGATGCTGTAGGGCCACTGATTGGCACAGCATTAGATTTATCAGATAAGAGGAAGGCCTGTGAAACCTAACCCCTCAAAACAAGCAAATTTGTTTTTGCATACAGAGTTGCCATTATTCTTACATTGTGGCATGTCTAATTGGCTTAGTGACTTTACTCTCTAAAGAGCTTACAATCTTACCATCCGTGAATATTCATTTTCCTCATCTTACAAAGGAAGGTCTAAGCAATTCAATTAGTTCCTCTGCCTTACTTAACATGTATGTGGAATCATCATCAGTGTAGCGGTCACAGGGACAACCTTGAGCAGAAGGATAGCGTAATTGGGTATGATGTCCCACTCGGCTGTCCATTTCTCTTGCTACAAACTTTGCCTCATTAGATGTAAGATGTTCTGATATGGAAATTAGTGAGTGACCTGCTTCACCCCTTTGGAATTTTGTTGCTTGGTCCCGGTCCACAAGATACAAGGCTGCTTTTAACATCTTTTCTGCTGCCTGAATAAATAAAAAATATATATATAATTTCATTAATTAAAAAGTGAGAGATGAGGTAATTTTAAATATGTGGGGCAATAGTTAAAGGAATTGGAATGGTCACCCTTATTCAGGATGAGATGAACCAAGGCATGCTTCCAAAAAGAAGTTAAAGTTTGGGTTTTGCAGCAAAGGCAGAAGAGGCGAGCAAGCACAGGGGGCTAGAATTTCAGCACACTCCTTCAGAACATGAGGGTGGAGGGGGTATTCCGTCCGGTCCATGCGCCTTACTCACATCCAATCTGGATAACACACCAGCAACCCTACGAGTGCAGATTATAGTAAAGTGCATAGGTTCAGCAGGAGGCGTAGGAGGGATAGAGTTGGAATCGTCTAAGGTGGAGTTAGAGGAGAATAAGGTGCCAAAGAGATTGGCTTTACCAGGGGTAGAGTTGGGTATAGAGTTATCATGTCAGAAGAGAGGAGGAAAAGAGGAAGTGCAGAAGTTATTACAGATGTTTTTGGACCAGAAGGATTTACTAGAAGAAAAGTTAGTCGGGACAACGGTCTTTCATTTTATAAAATTCCACTTGGCCCTATGAAGAATAGCTTTACAATGATTCCTAGAAGTAGTGAAAGAGGAGTGGGTAATAGGAGGAGATAGCTTCATAACTTGTTATGCCCATCTTTCTCTCAACATGCAAAAGAACAGGAGCGATCAAACCATGATTGTAAAGTGAAAGTTTTGGTAAAAGATGGGATAAATACATTCATACCACCCTGTATAACCCAACAATGCTGTCAGCACATACTGAGGCACCCTGAGTGGAAAAGCAACATTCATTCCAAGGAAAGTCGGAGATGAATTCTCACAAGGATTGCCAGTTTGCACTCTGATAGTGCCATAGTTGGCATTTAGGGGGGGTAGTGGGGTTGGGGTCATACTTGGTTTGATTTATAGAAATAAGATTGTGATCAGAAGACCTATGGGACGGAAATGCATATGAATAGTGTGAAGGGTTAGATCAAGAATGTTAGCAAGTTGATCTTGTTGATCATGAACAAGTGTAGGGTGTTTAATCAATTGTTCCAGATCAATAAGTAAGGAAAAGAGAGTGCCTCAGCTCCACCTGGGTCATCCCATGCTGAGCCAAGCCACTCTCTGTGATGTACATTGAAATCCCCTAGGTAGAGCATCTAGGTGTTGGGGTGTGTGGATAGCAACGACTCATGGCAATAAGTGAGATAGTCAGAGTTCTAAATAGTTGGTAGAGTTGGGAGATGAGTATAGGAAACAAAGAAAAATAGCCATAGTTGGTAGAGATACTTTGAGTCAGATGGCATCATAAAGAGAAGAATAAAGATCCTTGAGTCAAGCTATTGGTGTATGTGTGCTGCAGTAGGTACGGTCAACTCCCTTAGAACGGAAAGAGTTATAAAGGTTGTAGTTGGAGACTTGAAAAGGTTTGGGTGAAGCTGCTTTGGTCAGTTGAAGTTTAGATAGTAGTAAGAGGTCGGGGGAAGAGGTTAATAGTTGTTGCTCCAAAGAAGGAAAATTGAATCTCAGGCCGCTAATGTTGGAAAAATGAAGTGTCGGTGAGGTCCCAGGTCAGCCCTGGGGTCCACAACCTTCCTGACCAGTGGGACCCATCCGAGAAGACCCCGCTTTAATATTATTGTCAACTGATATCATACAAGAATAGAAAGAATAGAACATATCAAGAGTGAGAACAGTTATATAAGTCCTGTTGTCAATACAGTGGTCCCTCTTAACTAGCGGTTCGATTAACAAAATTTCGGTTAATGAATTACCTCCCATAAGGATCTTCAATTTGGTTAATGAACAAAACTTCGATTAAAGATATCCTTACGAACAATACGTTTTGTTGTGAGCATCAGCTGATTAGTTGATGGGCTAGTCTGTCAATTCAGTAATCTGTTCTATGTTTACATTCGTTTCCAGTGGAGTAAATATCAATTAAGTTGTGTTCTTTTAATATTTTTTTATTTTTCATATTACAATTATTAGTCATTTTCAAATTTAGTTAACATATTGATAATATATGCAGTACAGGGAACTAGTTTTTTGTGCACCCATCAGCCGCTTGACTCATCCACCAGGCGTCAGTTTGTCTTTGTTGACAGTGGAGTGAATATCAATTTTGTTGGTGTCTTGAATATTTTTGCATTTTTACATTAAAATTATTGGTCATTCTGAAATTTAGTTAACATATTGATAATATATATAGCACAGTGCAGTGTTGATTTAAATAAAATAATCTTGACTTACACCTAGTGAACTTAAAATTTTATTGATGAAATTACTGCATCAAGCATGGGTCCCCTGAAAGGTGATTTGGTATTATTGCGTTTACACACCGTTCATTCCTACCACTAATCTATTATCATATTCGAATAAGACGTCTAATTATAAGATAATTTTCATCTATTACATTACCGGCGGAAATGTATAATACAGTGAGTTCTGCTATAACTCGTGTTTTGATAACGCGAATTTGCTCTAAGGCGATTTATGAATAGAGGAACGATATTAATAATAATAATAATAATAATAATAATAATAATAATAATTAACGGTTTATTGAAAGAGCTTGGCAGCCAGAAGGCTGAAAATATACAGTTACATATTTGGGGAATGGGTTACGAATTACAAATAATATACAAGTAACATAAGTGACATAAATAAGACATATAATAACTAGATGGGGAAAGGCTCAAACTACAGTTCATTTCAACATAGTGACAGTGTAGAGCAGTGTTTACTGGGAGTGAGTACACTGATTTATTACAAGTTATTGATAATTTTACAATGGTTGGGACTGGGCTGTTCTTATAGCGATCAGTTCGGTACCGCGTATGGGCTGGATCGGTTGTGGTGTCGAACAGCAATTCTCGGACAAAGGATCTCAGGTGGTAGTAGGAGCCGGTGTCGGGGATGGTGTAGAAGCTTCTTACCAAATTTGCAGATGAGGTCGTGGTGGTCAGTGAGAGTCGAAAGGGTCAGTGTGTTGGAGCTTCTTGATATGTGGAGTAGGAGGAGAGAATAATCTTGCATGCCCTCTTTGCACTTTTTCTAGGTGTTTACGTTGTGTGGCATTTAGGAGGAAGACCAGGTGGGGGAGGCATAGGTGAGCTTGGGAAGTATGAATGTTGTGTAAACACTGAGGAGCTGTGTGCAGGAACTCGAGGACTTGGTGGGCGGAGGAGGTGGAGACGAACTGGAGGTTGACAACTTCACTGCGTGTGGTTTCCAATTTAGTTTGTATAACGTTTGCTGTCACGCGATTTTGCTTACTATTTCTCCAATTTTGTGGTATTAACTGTGAATACGGTAAGAAGAATATCTCCAAGCGTTCTGGTGATCGAATTCCCGGTGATGATCGTAAAAGAAAGGATATAACACTTGAAGAAGCTCGATGTTATCAACCTCAAAATCACCCTTCTCCCCCATCAAGTTACATTCATATTTTTTCAAGGGAAAGTGTTACATTTACTGTATGATTTCATTATTAGATATGAATGTAACATTTATTTAGACTGTGCTATCCTTTGTGTTAGGCTAACTACTAAATTTTTTCGATTTGATAATCCGCACCTAACCCTATTTTCTCCATAAACCCTGTTATTTCTATTACGTGATTTTCTGTATATTACGTGATTTTCTGTAACACTATATTTTACAAGAACACAACTATCGCGTTATAGCAGAACTGACTATGGAGACAGCTTTCCAAAAATTTTCTATTTTCTTCCATTAACCTCCCGCCTCTCACCCAACACTGTGTGTCTCTCGCGTCTCCTTCATAAATCATCAGCGCATCGCCCATACGCGTCATCTGGCCAATCAAAAGCGTTTTGCTTTTGGAACCAATTAAAATGATTTTGGGTTTAATTCAGAGTATATTTGGCCCAATCAAAATCGAGTTTAATTTTGGGTTTCATATTTTGAAATTCAAGTTCAGTTCCGACCATGGAAGTCTGCGATGGATGTCACTTAAAGTATATGGAGCTGATAGGAGTTTTTGGAAAAAAAAAGTAGAAACTACAGCATTTTTTCGTCATGGTGTTCTTCCTACCTCAGTAAAGTGTACTAAGAGCAAGACTGAATGTAAATATTGCAAAGACCAACATATGTGGCGTTGTGTAAGAATCCCAGAATGCAACGACGAACAAGAACCAGGCCAATAAGGTAAGAAATAGGTGATTCCATCATATGGTGGGAGTCAGTTAAGTTATGTTAGGTTAGGTTAGTTTTTGTTTTCTAGTGTTTTTTTGTGTTTTTTAGTCGCTTAGCCACTGTTTTTCGTAACCCGAAAAAATCGTCAAAAAAAAACCCGGCTAATTTCCGCCAAAATGAAGGTCATATTCGGTCTAAACACACACAAATACACAAGTAAAATATATTTTTTACTTGCTAAAAGTGAACGGTGTGACACTGCAAATTTAATCCTCCATCCCCACTTCCTTCTCTTCTCCCTTGTCCTCCACCCCCACTTCTAAATCCCATCATCATCAACAACCAGGAACCTTCTACATACACACCTCAAAGTAAGTGTACTTTACTGCATTTTTTTTACTTTGTATGTACTTTGCTGTGAGCTGGAACCAATTACCCAATATCCCATTGAAACAATGGATTCCGTTAACAAATTTTCGGTTAACGAACGACTCTGTGGAACTAATTGTGTTCGTTAACGGCCACTGTAGTAAGAGACACAATTGAGACTGCAAGTATGTGTAAATGAGGCAGAAAGGCAGATCAGCAACCTGTGACTTGGTCACAATTTTCGCAATGCCATATAGCAGCAGGGTCTACCATGAGACAACACATTATAATTCCAATATCTTCCCAGGCGGTAGTACCTCCCTGTTTGGTAGCTGCTTACTACCTATAATACAATTATACAGCACTCCCTCCCTTGAGTAACATGCAAAATATTAACACTTACACTTCAACAAAGTATTGATGGCAAACAGTGTACTCACATAATATTCACCTTAATATTCATGACATTTGAAAAACTGAACTTGTGGCAATCATCAATACTCTGTATCATAAAACAATTAACATAGTACAGGTATAGTACTGTATAGTTAAACTTATCCTCAGAATTCATGTATTAAAAAGTGGCAGATAACTGCCGAAAGTATATCCAGACAGCTAAGTGTGGTTGGAAAAATGGAAAGCTTTTGAAATATAAAGAGCTCAGTAGGGTTTTGACCTACGTAGTTTGTGCGAGCCTTCCTAACTCTTGAAATAGACATCAGACTCAGGTTTATCTCATGCATCAACTCTGGTTCAACTGACAAGGAGCTGTCATTTACACATTTCAAGACAATGTAGATTGTCAGGCTTTGCTTGAGATGTTAACGGGAGTGTCCAGCTGAAGCACAAAATTCGTTAATACCTGATCAAACAATATCAAATTCCTGTCAGCCATTAAGGACACCAGATACATTGTTGCTATACCCTGAATCTGTTCTCCCTAATCCTTGATACCTGATTTTTTTCCTTATACTGTACAGGTATTCTTATAAATATTCAAAATCCTACTTCCCGCTAGATTATGTTGAAATTAATGTGGACTATAGGTAATTTACTCCTCTTGAACATGACTATGTATATTTCTGATTATCGCTTTTGTTTTGGGTGCATGAATTTTTTTTCTAACTTAAATTTTTTCCTCCAAATATTTAAAGATTAATCAGCAAATAATAATCCAAGCCAAATAAAGAAAATCTATATGTTCAGCCATTCACAATATGTTATTCTACTTCAGTATTTAGTTTTTGTTTTACAGTATTAGAATCGGCCCATAAATGGCAGAGCCTTAGGGATTTGAAGGATAGAAAAACCCATTTTGAGATGCAGGTTTGCGCCACCATATTGAACCTTACTCTCGTTTCTTACAGGGGTAACTGTAGCTCAAGGCTCTTGTCCTGCTGCTAGCTAGCTTAGAAAGGTGCCAGATACTGATTTTTACCAAAATATTATTATAAATACTTTTCTACAACTTTTGCTATGTAAACAGAAGGGTCCTATAAATGAAGGGGTGGGAGAGAGACAATCATACATAGCTACATAAATATTATGAATTATGCAATCAAAATACATTAGCAGATAGCCATTTTCATCTTGTCAGTTAAACACTCCACTTTAAGTTTCTAGGTTATCGTTTATAAACAAAAGGTGATGCAAGACAATCAATCTGCAAGTACTGTACATATATTAAATAAAATTTTCTTAAGGAAATTACAGTTGTACCCCGCTTAACGTGGTTTCACTTAACGCGATTTCTCATATACGCGGTGCCTCGCCAGAACCGAACTTTCACTTAACGCGGTAGTACGCAGAGTGTCCGGCTCAAGACGCTATTTTTAGATTCGCCCCACCCGCCACCGCCTGCCTCGCCTCTCCTCCTCCTCCTCCCCTCCGCCTCCGCCTGGGCAAGCCGCTGTAAGGTTGCGCAGTGTGTGTCTTTGTTGCGTTATCACTGACATCATATGACATATCGGACTGTGATTGGCCATGCATCCTCACCCCCCTGCTGCTAGCTGTAATTGGTTTAAAGTAATATGAAGTGTCCACCCAGGGGAGGAGAGGGAGAGAAAGAGGACTCTGCCAGCGCTAGTTTCATCCCTCCAGGTCACCCCGTGTACATCCATTGTTCTGTGAAATGGCTTCGCCGGACTGCCACCAGAGAGAAACCTTCCTTACCTGGACCCAGCCGCCTAAGCCCAAGAAGACACGCCGTGGCCTAAGCTACAAGTGAAATACCAGATCATTCAAGATTTGGAGAAAGGAACATGCCAAGCTGATCTCGTGGCGCCAGCATGGCGTCAACGAATCACGATTCGTACTATTAAGATAGATGCAGCCAAGATTAAAGAACACATGAAAATCACAAAGTCTGCAGGTGCTTCAATGATCAAGTATTGCCAGAACAGGGTGCTGGTAAAGGTGGAAAATTTGCTGGCGAGTTATTTGATTCGTCAGGCGCGGCCTAACATGGCGGTGGACAGCGCTCAGTGCAGAGATGCAGCACGTGAACTTTACGCAGCAGTGTCAAGTAAGCTGGGAATTGCAGAGCCCAAACCCTTCAATGCTTCCTCTGGTTGGCTGCATAGGTTTAAGAAGAGGAACAAGATCACCAACATCAACATTGGTGGTGAGGAAGCGAGTGCTGACCGTGTAAGTAGAGATTTTCCTCCGTTCTTCTGGCTAGAGATTTTCCTCCGTTCTTAGGTGTATTTGTTAGCAACGACTTGAAACCTAGAAAACAATGTATTAGCGTTCGCAACAAGGCAAACAGGATTCTTGGGTTCATATCTAGGTCTGTGAGTAACAGAACTGCTGACGTTATCTTGAAACTTTACCTAGCATTAGTGAGGCCACACATGGATTATGCGGTTCAGTTCTGGTGTCCTTATTATAGAATGGACATAGATTCTTTGGAGAGAGTACAAGAAGAATGACAAAAATGATCCATAATATTAGAAACCTTCCATATGAAGAAAGACTGAAAAGCTTAGGCTTACATTCATTAGAGAGGTGTAGAGTTAGGGAGATATGATAGAGGTGTACAAGTGGGTAAGTGGGATTAAAGGGTAAAATGGAAGATGTTCTGAAGCTCAGTAATAACGAAATAACTAGAACAAATGGCTTTAAATTAGATAAATTCCGATTCAGAAAGGATATAGGCAAGCACTGGTTTGGTAATAGAGTTGTGGATATGTGGAATAGGCTACCGAGTGCTATAGTAGGATCGGGGACGCTAGGGAGCTTCAAGACGAAGTTGGATAGGCACATGGAAGTGCTGGGATGGGTGTGAAAGGGATCTGCCCTGTATGGGCCAGTCGGCCTCCTGCAGTATCCCACTTTCTTATGTTCTTATTATGGAGGAAGGACAGTACACTGACGACCAGGTGTTAAACATGGACGAATCTGGTCTTTTCTGGAAAAAAGTACCTTCCAAGACCTTCGTTGTCCAGTCTGCCAGCAAGGTAAGGGGTCGGAAGATGCAGAAGGAACGCATCACCGTCCTCTTTACCACTAATGCCTCCGGTACCTGTAAACGAAAGTTATTGGTGATTCACACAGCCCGCAAGCCGCACGCCTACAAGAATATGGACATGAACAAGCTTAATGTCCACTGGCTAACCGCACGTTAGGCGTGGATGTTCTCTTCTCTGTCCCTCTCCTGGTTTGACGACTGTTTTGTTCCCGACGTGAAGAAATTCTGCGAGCAACAAAATTTCCATTCAACATTTTGTTGTTCCTTGACAACCACCTGGACACTTCGCCCACTACATGGATCGTCACCCCAGCGTAAAAGTGGTCTTCCTTCCTCCCAACACTACGTCATTAATCCAGCCCATGGACCAGGAGTTGATCTGCAATGTGAAAGCTGCATACTCTGCAGAAGTTCAAGCTCCTGAACGACTCTACCAACACCAAGGATGAGTTGCGTAAGCTGGGTGACACAGGCGAGAGTAAAGCGGCGGACAAGGAACAAGAGGTGGCGACTCAAGAAGTTCTCGTCAAACAGTTTTGGAAGAAGTTTAATGTCAAACAAGCTGTAGACTTCTTGGTGGAGGCATGGGATCAGCTGTCTATTGCTACGATTCGGCACGCATGGAGACATGTGTTGCATGGCATACCAGGTGAGAGGAGTCGTCAACCTGTGACTGGTGAGGTTCAGACTGTTGCAGTAGCAGTGGACCTTGCCAGAGAAGCTGCGCACAATATTACAGCTGAAGGCTTCTCTGAGACCACCAACAAAGACATCCTGGATGTGATCAGAGATCCTGAAGTGACTGCCGACGAGATGTTGGAAGATGCAGTGAAGAGGAAGAAGGTGCGTCATTCTCCGAAGAACACAAGTTAAGTCATAGTGATATTAAGGGTGCCATGGAGTGTGCAGAAAAAATGAAGTCCTTCCTTTCCCGCGACATGACCCGCTATGAAATCTTCCATACCCTGCACTATGGAGCCGTACATCACGGTGTATCAAGACAACATTAACACTTGCCGTCAAAAAGCATTACCTCGCCCGCAACCCACCACAGCCAGCCAGAGCCAGTGATAGTGACAGTGAAAGTGACTTTGAGGGATTTGTCAGGGAAGCCCTGACAACTGTAAGTGACAGTGATGGTGATGCACCTAGTAATGGTGATTCACCTGAGGGCCAGTAATCTGCCCTCTGCCTCGGAACCAGCCTCCATCGTATGCCGACCCATCTCTTCTACTAACGTAAGTGTTCAACATAACTTTAGTTTCCTAACCTATTTTATTTCCTAACCTAACCTCTTCTATATTACTTGTTTGTTCATACCATCATAAAGTTAAGATAAAATTTTTACTACAACATAGTTATGTGTCGTCAAAAAGTGGAGTTTGAGTCGGGCCAGTCTCTATTGGAATTAATCCCATATGTTCTGTTGTTCATACAACGCGGTTTTCACTTAACGCGGTACCCTGTGGGTTCAATTGACCGCGTTAAGTGGGGTACTACTGTAATTAATTGGTATTAAATGATTGTCTGAAAAGTAATTGTAGCATGTTGCAATACAGTAGATTGCAGCAGTCTGATCTGCAGGGAGGGGACTACAGTTGATGTTATTAAATGACGAATGTCACTTAATGATCATCAATATAACATGCTGCAAATACAACCCGAGACAAATGTATGAGAACCTCTCATTTGCCTACATTCATTCTTTTTTCACTAATACAGTACTAAAATAAGAAAGAAAAATGCAAATTTACCTGGTGGCACATGTACATCATCCAGCATGCAGATCCTCCAGTTCGTCTACGTGCTTCACCAACATCATGCTCAGCCTGTTTACGCCATTTCTGGGCTTCTGGGTAATCGGGCACCTTTGTTTCTTGTCTTGAATAACCCGAGAATGTGTGGGAACTTGCATATTGTCTTGGTGGTGCTCGGAATAAATTGTCATAAAAATCACTGGGGACAGCTCTTGAAGTTTGAGCGGAATCACTGGGGTCATCTTCATCATCTGAAATTGTCTCGCCTCGCTCTAGTCGTCTTAGCAGTTGCTGTATGTATTGCATCACTCTGGTACTGAGCTCAGTCCTGTGTAGGTTCTTGTCAGGATGCCATTTTAGTATCAAGCGCCGCAACAAATGATGTCTTTCTTTTTCATCTTCCACTTTCCATATTTCCTTCATCTGTTTTCTTATCTTCCTTATTTCTTGTTCAGTAAGATTATCATCAGATGTATCAGCTACCTCATCTGAGAGCATTATCTCATTTAAGTTCTTTCTTACAAACTTGTATAATTGATGGGCTTTAACAATCAAAAGACATTGTACTTCACATCCTGTATTCACCTCATATTCGTCCAGGAACAAATTATCATGACTTTTAACCAGGCGTTTCACTTCAACAATGATGAAAATGTCTTCTTCACAATCTTCCACCCCTCCAAGAATATATTTCTTCATGCAAACAATTTCTCCTTCATGAAAATTGTAAAATTCATTATCCAACAAGCACAAGAAACAATCTTTCAGATAAGTACCCACTTCTGTCTGAAAACTAATGTGTTCATTACTCTGACCTTCGTACATTGTTATATCCATTTCATTCAGCAATGCTCCCATTTCATGTGGTTTGTCACATGATTGCAATAAAATTGTTAGGCAGCTAACTGATTCACTATTTAACTTGAGCACTTTTCTGAGGGTGTTAGATAGGCTATATATGAGCAAATTTCTCTCGATGTTCTCAGAAATATAGAGAGTTGTTTGTTTTGTTTCCCCTGTACATACATTCTTTATAAAATGATGTCTTTTTCTCTGTCCTACTTCATTTCCATTATGTACCATAATTGTGTTAATTTCCTTCAGTTGTTTTACATCCATCATATCAAGGCTAGACGTTAGTCTTCGCTTCTCTTCTTCATTTAGACAAGTTCCTGGAGGGTTAAAATGGTTTACAATTCTAAATATTGCTGATTTTAAAGTTTGACAATCAAGTACAGCTTTAAGTTGAACAAACTTTGTTGATGATATTTCTTCCATTTTATTAGTATCAAGATCTTCCTGAATAATAGATGACAAAAGTTTTGGCTGCAAATTCTCTGGTAATTTCTTTATAAAGTCAGTATCTTTTCCAAAGATTTGTAGTTTTAAAAATTCAATTCCAGCAAATGTTGGTTCATTTAATTTTCCTTCAGTAGCTTTTAAATACTCCTCATTATCTACCACATACATATTAGAGGACAGTGCTAATGTTTCCTCTCCAGTAGGAAGGTATAATTCAGAAACTGTAAGTTTGTCTAACATGAAAACCTTCTCCACTAACCCTGCAAAAGCCAATTTCATAGACTTAGATTCCTCAGGATGCAATTTTTCATTTTGGCTCTTTTCATGTATCATCTTCAAGACTTGTGCATATGTGTCACAAGTGTCATTTTTAAGGGTCCCTATTTTTTCAAACATATCAAAATATTTCCCATATATGATTGGTGCTTTAAATAAATATGGAATAATCTCATATTGTAAATTTTCCACAACAAAATTAGCAGAAACAAACACTGAATAATTGGGTATATGTACTACAGGGATGCTGTTCTCAACTATTCTATCATAGACACTTGCATTGCAATGCTGCAAGTACTGGTAAATACTTTCCATCACATCAATGACATCTTCATTTGTGTTGTCTTTCACAAAGAACTTGCACAGTTTAAAAATGTGTTCAACAACCTTTTCTTCTGGAGGAGGATCCAACATGTTTAGAGCCACTTTAATTTGGTTCTTCTGTGGTGTTGCATAATGTGGCAAGAGGCTTCTGGTTGTCCACAGAATGTTTGCTAATTTTGAAGGCACACTATCAACAAAAGATACCAATCCAGATCTTGTCTTAAAATGAGGTAAAATTCTTTCCAATTTTTCATCTATTGCTGGTACTAGAAATTCAATATTCTCAATCACAGAAACTGTATTTTTCAGTGTTTTGTAGTGCTCAAAAAAGTATTCAGTTAGAACTTTGGACTTGGGTTTAACTTTAGGATCATTAGATGAAAGTTCAGAAGCATACCTTATATACATATCATCAGTCAATTTAAGAATCATACCAGCCAATTTGAGAAAATACTGCCATATAGTCTTAGTCCATTCCTGTGGTAAGTTGCTTAACTCCAATACTTTGAAAACTGAGTTGTGGGAATCATAAAAATTATCTGCAGTTTTCAGGTTTCCAAAGAACATTATAAATGGAGTTCTCTTAAGTTCACAAACAACATCAATTTGCTCTTTGCTCCAACCATATTCTTCCTTGTACTGTAATTGGCTCAGTTCATCTCGCAAACTTTCCAGAAATTTAGTTTGTTGTTGTTGTGGTAAAGACTTGAAATTGGGCAAAATAAACTTCGCATAAATTACCAGATCGTTCATAATACATCCTGAGTCTATGTATCTATAGATATCTGTTATATGAGATGATGTTGCTTCCTTCAAAATAATTGTGTTATGCTCACAAGCAAGTTTTGCTAAACCATCAAGTCCAAGTTTTGTTTGAACTGGCATAATCAACTTCTTATCTTCCAAATTACATATCGTTCCTGACACATCTTCAAAAATACTTAGAGAACGGAGTTTAACAATAGATAATGAGTTTCCTTTACAATGACGGCCAAAGTATTCTAGGATTTTGGTAAATCTCTCTGGAAATTTTTGCCTAAAAATCCAATTTCCAAACTCTGCAATTATCTTTCTATGAAAGTAAATTGCTTCTAACATTGCAGAAGGATCTTTTAAGGTTGCTGTTAGCTTCAACTCTACAGGAATGAGTCTTTTCCAGTATGGATGAGGAACTGGTAATTTGGAGAAAACTGATGTCTCCATAGCAGGGTCTTTACGAAGGTCTATAATCCTCCAAGCATTCTGAACTGCAATAAGGTACTTCTTGTCACATTTGTTTAAGGGATACAGTGCCCATTCTCCAAGAGTAATCAAGATATGTTCTCTGCTTGCTTTCCAGTTTACTTGTGACCTTCCGGTACGACTTTCACTGTTCGTAAATTTGCCTTTAATGTACTCTGTAACAAAACTCCACAAACTTGTTAACCAATTTTCTATATCAAATGTTTTGGCATCTTCTAATGGTTTCAAATCTGTACAATTATGATAAGATTCATCCAATACAGTATGTAGTCTTTCACATAAATCATTTAAAGTAAACTCTTTCAGCACATTCTGATTCTCAAAGTTTTCTGAAATGTTTTTGAAAAAAATTTCAGTATGTTTCACCATTTGGAGGTTTAAAAATTCATTTCCTAATTCTGGTAATAGATTGCAGTATTTCGACATGAATACTGGTTCACTGGAATCAAAACATCGAAGAACCATGTCATTGGTGAGCAGCAATGGAAGCCCATCCAACTCATTATACATTTCTTTTAAGTGGGAAAGATGGTCAAAGACTTTGCACACATTTTTTGTAGTCAAAAAGGGAGACTTCGTGATATTTTCCTCAATCGTCAGATAACATCTGTCAGGATAATTTTTGTTCCAGGAAAGAAGAAATTTAAGAACAGACTCTGGCGTGAGTTTGTCATATGGAATTTCTATTTCACGGAGAATTTCACGCCAAAATTTTCTACATATTTTCATACCAAGTCTCTTAAGAGTATTTAAGAGACTGTCATCAATATGATCAGCAATAAAATAAATCGGAAAATTATTTCCAGCCTTGTTAAATGCATGCCATTGTAACTCTCCTTTTCTTTGTTGCTCATGTTGATGTGATATATCATAACTTGCTTGAACATCATGTGAAGGGTGATCACCTTTTGCAGTGAATACATCAAACATTTCTAATTGCTGATTTATAATGTATTCATAAAACCATTTTACAAAATTCTTCCATTGAGGAGCTTTTGCTTTGTTGCCAACAGGTACAGTATTTTCATACTTTTTTATTTTCTCCCCAAATTTGTTCTGTAGCATATTTCTAATATTGTCTGGGAAAATGAATTTCCTATAGTGGTCAACTGCATGAACAGCAGCAGGAGCAAGTACCTCTTTTATGAGCCATCTATTCCATTCTGCTTTAATATCCTTCAATCCAATCCACAAGTCCCGCCGTGAAGAACCAAGAGTAAAATGCCCATTAACACTAAATGGTAATCCAGATTCTACTGGCAGTGGGAGATAACACGATGTTGTAAACATATCATCACTAAGTTTTTTATTGGTTTCCAAAAGAACAGCAGCTCCAGCATGAGGAAGCAGGTTGAGATACCGATCAGTGAAGGCATCTATTACTATCTCTGGAACACTGTCTGGGTTTTCTGTACCAAGCTGTTGGACAATGTACCACCAGTACTGTACCCCAGATGTGTCTTCTATGAACATGTTATATGAAGCTCTAACCATATCAAAAGTATTAGGTAAAATAAACATCTCATTGCTGCATTTGTTTCCTTTCATTTCACTTTTCAATTTTACAAGCTCATTTTCTTCTTGGATGATTGATTGAACCGAGTATCCAGGAATGCATTCTCCTTTTTCAGTAATGGTCATGATGGAAATCTTTCGAACATTTCTTAGAAATAATAAACATTTAGCCATTTCTGCCTCAAATTCTTTCAGTTTAATATCAAGTTGCCACTTTGGCATGATTTTCTTCGAAATCTCTGATTCTTTTGAAGTTCGCAGTGGGAGTCTGAAAACTGTGCCTTCATTTTGCAAAAATCTATCTTCTAAATATCCCATAAAAGAATCTGGGTAATCCATACGCAAGTTATGTAAGTTCTTAAATTGAACACCAGGTTTATCAGGAGTAGCAAATGAATCATACTTGCAATGTGGGTCAAACATACATAGTGTCTCTCCTTGTGGAACATCAGGTCCTTTTGTTAGGAATGATGGGGCATCGGTTAAATGATACACAGCATTAAAACCGATACCATATTGTCCTGTACTTGCTGGATCTTCAATTCTACAACTCTTTCCCAAGTCTTGAATACCCTGTAAATCTTTTTCTGTGAAACCTTTATTATTGTACACACATAAGGCAGGCTCCTGTAATGGTGCCCATTTCTTATCAAAAAGTTTTTTATCTGGGAGATGTCTAAAATCTTTGATAAAAGCAACTTCTGTTGCTCCAGCATCATCTGCATTCTGTAGCAGTTCTTTCATTATCCCAGTATCACATGGATAATCCTTAAGAATATTTGTTAACCGAGTAGTTAACGGTTCTTTCTGACCAAAATGTAATCTATTTGAACAGTTCTCAAGGCGTTTCATGGTTTTTGATTTAATGCCTAACCAATCAGTCATTGCCTGTGAGAGATACACATCTCTGTGCAAACACAGATGATTACCAGAGCTGAGATCAATCCCATCTTCAGTACACAATTTGTCTATGGGATGAAGAAAACCACCCGTGTCTGGGAGATGGAGATCCTGTAAGGGCAGCTTATATTCACCGTTATCTTTTTCTGTTATATCAAATAATAATTTAAGAAGCTTTGACATCTGTAATACCTCTGGCTTACTTAACTGTCTTGATTTATATATTTCTTTCTTTTGAAGAACAACTTGTAAAACAGAGTCTCTATGAAAGACAGATTTAATGCCAAGGGCTTTCATTAGATTTGGGTATGATTCAAGCCCTTCTGCTCGCACTGAAAACAAGTCAGGTGCACAATCACTCGAGTCAGAATCTGCAAAATACTTTGGTTCCATAAAGCCACATTTTGTCTTGAGGATCTTCTCATTTTGCAGGTCTATTAGTTCATTACCTGATTTCAGAAATGGAATTTTTCTTTCAAAATAATCATATATTTCAACACACATTGTATTGATATTATGAACTACTGGTGATTCAGCAATAAAAGTTTTAATCTGATAACAGACTTCTTGTAAGGGCAGCATATTTTCATGAACAATAACACCCAGCTTCTTTAGGATTTCATTTGATAAATGATCATCTCTGTCAACCAGCAATAAATGAGAACTACCTACAAGCACCTTAAACTTTGGTAAGCACAGGGAAACTGGCTTATTAAACAATACAGATTTCAACCGATTCTGAAAAATTTTTTGGGCATGTTTATCACATATAAGAGATGTTTTATTTTGTATCATATCACCTTTCCATGTAACAGGCCAATCTTGTGGCTTAGGCATAACTGGCAGAAATGGGACACTTTGAATTCTATGTGCAATTTCATTTTGTTCCTCATCATGCCGTGTTTCTATATAGTGGAAGATTTTTATAGATCTTTCAACAGCACAATTATGGCATGGTAGTGCTTCAACTGTTTCTGCCCTGTTGTGAACCATCTCTACAGGAATACCTGTACATGTATTCATCATTCCCAGCTGACAAAGAACAGAACGTACATGGGGAGTGTTAAAAAATAAGTCCTCTGGGAACCTTTCATCACTCACACTGAAAAGTAATGCAATTCTATCCTTGGGGTCAATTAGATCCTTGGGGATTTTCAAGGTTCCATTTGGGATTGTAGGAATGCAAGGAATTCTTTTGAGTTTGGCGAGGCAATCATGATGATTATTATTATTATTAATGATATGTAAAGTCAGCTTATCTCTCTTTGGTGGAGTTACATACTCTCCTGCAATATTTGGGATGAAGTAATTGCCCAAAAAGTCATTCTGAGTGATGCAATGTGAAAAAACACTGTTATCCTGAAATCCAGACAAAACATGCTCCGGTAACTCTATCATAGTTAAGTTGCCCCAGAGCCTCATTAATTCTTCCATATATTCAAATGCAATTTTGCCAATATCTGTAACTTTGTAGAATGATTCTTCAAAAAATTTACAGACTTTCAAAGGATGCCATCCATTTCTGCTGCGGAAGACTTTCACATCCTCAGTGACAATGGTGCTGTAGAAATAACTTCTAAGATTAGATATGAGGTAGTCATTAGTGTCATGCTTAACAGGCCAAAGGGTATAGTATGGACAATTCCAACTTAGACCTTCCAACTGCAAAGTCAGTATAAGGTTGTGATAGGCAGCATTTATGGCATCAGTCATCAATATTTTGTTCCAGTCTTGTGTTGTCAACCGATCATCCTCTGTTTGTGTTTCAAGACTTGTACGGTCTGAAGTTACTTCAAAGAAACCATTTAACTGAACAGGAAGAGTTGTTTTGACTGGTAGTGGGAGAAAACAGTGCATGTGGCTCTTTTTATAAAATCCTTGAGGAAGTTCTGAGAGCTTTATGGGTTGCCATCCATCAGTTTCTTTTTTTACAGGAACTGCCACAGCACCCAGAGGAAGGGCTTTGCCCCCGAGTCTTTCAGAAAATTTACACAATGGACCTTTACCACAATGCCAAGATGTTAGCCAATTTATAGTCCACATACCCTGATCAATGCTGCACAGTTGGCTACCTTCATGTGAATACTCAACTTTTATTTCTGAAAAAGTATTTTCTTCAAAAGAATGCCCACTCCATTTAAAATTATTGTTAAACAGGAGAGAAACACTCTTCATTTGAGTTTTGTTTGTTGTGATGCTGCAAACAGACTTAGCAGGTACAGCTGATAGTGTTCTTGTTGTCCTTGAGCTTCTATACAGCAATATTTTCTTTGCTGGTGATAATGTCTTTCCTAAGTGGTAGACTTCAATGTCTTTGATATTTTGTGTAAAAAGTAGTAGTTCACCAATTATCTTGCTAAACATTTGAAGCAGTTCTTTCATCTCTTTGTGCTGATAACTCACACTGCTAATCTCACTAGAGCCTGCTTGTGCTAGAGTTCGCAAAGGGAAACGAAATAGTGTGCCATTAAAGTTCCTCGTTTGTTTGATATTACAGCCAAAAACTTCATTAAATGGCTTAAATTGACCATGAAGCTTTTGCAGCATTAGAGAGTTCTTTTCTCCAGAAAAATCAAACCGCAGCCCATGTTTTTGGTTATTGCCATCTTCTAAATATGTTTGATGTGGATCAAATATAACATAATTAGACCCACTAACAAGACTTGGTGTATCAGTCAGGTTATAAACTGAGCAAAATCCTAAGCCAAACTTCCCAATTTTGGTGGACAAATGTTCTTTAGTTCCTCCACCTAATTTCTTAAGATTTGATAAGTCATCTTCTGTGAATTTGGCATTATTATAAGCCCACAATGCTGGTCCCTGACATTCTTGAAATTTGTTGCTGACGAGTCTTGTGCGTGCATCTTCATTTTGACGTTCATCATAAAGAAAACAAACTGTGGTAGCTCCAGCATCATCTGCATTTTGCACCAACTCCTTGAGGACTGCTACACCATCACGATACTGCCTGAGCAGATTGTGAAGACGGGTGGTAAGTGGTTCACTTTGCCCCCATTCCATAAATGCTTCTTGTCCTGCAAGTAGATGCTTGTTTAGAGGTTCTACACCAAGAGCTTTTGCTAATTTAGTTCCTACACTGCTGTGAACTACTCTCACTCCAAGTTCTTCACTATCAATCCAATCACAGGACTGTTCTGAATAAGAACAATGCTGCATTTCAACTAGTTCTAATGTATTATCGTTAGTTTCCACCGGCAACAACATCCGAGATGGAGGAATGTCCCCACAGAATTTCTCTAGTTTATGAAGTACTTGTACAACTATGTTCCTGTCACGATCAACGTCTACAATACCTTTTGAATGGTGGTGGTCGTGGATTTGTTGGAGAAGTGTTAAATACAATTCTTTTGACTGATTTTCAAAACATCCTATAGTGCGGAAGAGATCAACACATTCACGTAATTCAAAAGGCAGAGGATACATGTATGGCAATAATTGTAAGTCTTCAATTCCACATGATATATATACTTGATTTGGTGCTCTGAAACCATGCTCAGTGAAAATGCATGGTAATGCTGAAAGTAAATTTAAATGGTAAGCATGTGACGTGTCACTGAATGTTGAAAGTTGTTTGTACGTTTCCTTCACTTGTTCAAAACAGCATAAATCTGAATTCTCATATGCCATCATTATGTTCTGTAGATGTTTTATAATTTTGTCAATGTCGGGCTTTTGATTCCAACCAAAGTTGTTTGCAACACACTGAATATCTGAACACTGCACTAGGGGTACCACCGAGCCTAGAACATTTTTAAAGTGATTGTAACTTTTGACCTTTTCAGGTTTGTACAATTTAAAAGAAGTTGCCCAAATTAGACTGTCTGGATATACAACTGGTTTGGATACTTCACCAAAAACAAAATTAGTACTTTTGACTGCTTGGCAAATCTGTAAACAATCTGAACGACGATTCATAGCTCTAAGTAAACTTACTGCTTTTTTTGCCTTTTCACTTTCTGGTAATGATTTGCCATGAAGACTTTTTATGATCTGAATGAATTCATCTCTGGGCATATTCTGCACTTTCTTCATTCCAAGAACCCGTAATAATTGATAATATTTCTGAAAGCATGTCTTGGGGTGAAGGTTTTCTGCAATCAATGCTTCATTATCAATATCCTCAGGGTCATACAGCTGGCTGGGTAGAAACAGTCTTCCAGTTTTATCTGGAACAAATTGCACATACCTCAGTTGTTGCTGAATTATTGAACTGTTCTGTAGGACTCTATCTTCCAAAATGTATAACACGAGATGTGATATATCAGAATCAGAGTATGTATTTTGCAGGGTGAGGAGACATAAATTTTCTTTTGACAGCTGTGTGGCACCTAAATTTTTTGCAAGCTGTCGTTCTGTCCAGGAGGATGGTATTATCAGTCTCTCAGGATAGTTGACAGGAAAGTCATTAACTTCTGGAGATATTTTATCACAATTGTCAATGCTTACATCAACTACAATATTGTTTCTTCCATTGGCTTTGAAAATGGTGATTTTCTTCAAGAGGTTCTTTATCTGTGATGGAAGATGATGCATTTCAATAACACTGAGGAGAGCTTGAACGTCTTCATCCTTCCTCCACATATTGAAGTCACATGCTAGAAGACAGGTTTCATATACTTCTAACACCTTCAGTAATGCCTGGGTGACACCACGAGCATCTGAACTATTTAAATAGTTGTGTAACTGGTGATGTCGAACATAATCTGGAGGCTTCGAGATAACTTGCACTTTCAATAAAAGAAGAGCCTCTTTAGCTGCTTGAGATATTGGAGAATAGTCGTTTTGCACAATGATAGCAGTTGACAGAGTGATTAGGGTTGGTGCATTTACTTTGTTGCTAGTTGGTATGAGGGTCAAATTCATAACACTTTGAAGATCAAGATGCTCCACAACTGCCCATACCTTTGACAACCAGCATTTCATTTGTTGCTCAGAAGGAGAAGTTTCTTGAACAAATCGGACACTCCTTGTAAGTAGCTCCACCCCATGATGACACACAGAGAACTGCTTCAACTGAGTTGTGCCTGGAAAGAGAAGTATATTATTAATAAACTGATGAAAATCAAACAACTATAGTGGATTCTAAGTGAAGTCTTCTGCAACATTTGTCAAGTTTGTAGTCAATAATGAAATATTGTGCAAAAACTGTAAAACGTATACCTGTGGTTACCAGCTTCAGTTGGTTGTTATAGCTCATTTTCTATTCTACCAACTTTGGGGTGGTTCATACTTATTTTATCATTTGTACAATAATGAGGTACTGTCCTGTAATAGTTCACTATAGAATGGATTTTTCACCAGAATCTCAAAAAGTAGAAGGATGTTTCTTAAAGTATACATTATTATTGCACTATAATATGTCTGTTGGTGAAAAATTGAAGCACA